TGGGTGATATGAGAGGCTGCAAGGTTCCAGGAAAGTTTAAGTTTGGCTTAACCTCTGATTGTGTCGCAAAATTTACGTTATTCTGAGGAGCGATAGAATTCCACACCAAGGTAGATTGTGGCGAGTTCCAGTTCATGGGTGTACTCAATCCATTGGAATTCCAATTCATTGGTCTATTCAACATTGTTTGCGAATTAAGCGTCGGAGACGTTAAAAATTGCGATTGCGTTAAACTAATGTCATTATATTTATGTGCAATATTTTTAGCAGCCGATTGTGACATAGTCGATCTTGACATTGACAGATTTAACTCATCTAGATTATTCTTTAACAAAGTCGCAGTCAAATCCTTCGGTTGCGATTTTAAAGGTTGTGATACAGCTTTAGGAGTTAGCATAGGTTGAGACTGCATTCTTTGATGCGTTTCTTGTTGTTGAATCAACCTAGAAAAAAATCATCAATGTTTTAGCATTACAATTAATGATTATACGATTATGTTTAAAGAAGATATATTAAGTCTTTGAAATATAGTCAAGATATACCTGAACTTGTCTTCGATAGTTAATCCATTTTCAATATTTACAGTCTTAGAATTAGAATTAGTATTCGGAGATAGCATTTGGTGCGTTAAATTAATGTCGCTTAAACTGTTGTTTTGCATAAAGGTGGGTGAAGTCACTTGTGAAAGCGCTTGATCGAGTTGTTGCGTCTCACGACGCACAGCATCCAATTGACGTAATGCCTCTCGATGCTCGCTGGTTACTCGATTTATCATATCGACGACAAGAGTGGAAAGTGTCTCATATTGAGACATACTAAGATTTTGCTCTATGCAGAGGGGTAACAAAAACGGTAGTACCTTTGTTGCCAATATTTCTTTGCCCATACCTAGCTTACTATGAGTGAGTAGCATTCTGTAAATACCTACCAACATAAAGAAAAATATTTTTCTCAATCTTTCTAATAAAATTGAGCAGATTACAATAAATGTAAAATATATTAAGAATTTCTTTTTTTTAAATTTTGTACTAGTAAAATATATTACCAATAATAGCCATTAAAATTGCTGGTTCGCCACAATGAGGAACTTCTTGAAGGAATGGTAATATCTGATCGAATACCAGCCAACGATCAAAGCTCGGCAACATTTTCGCAAGACACAGCAAACAATTAACACGTACTCCAAGACTAGTAGATTTCTTTCCTGGCGACAAACATATCTTTTTCATCCGTGGAAGTATGGCATTTTTTATAACTGGTCCCTCAATCATTGTCACAATATTTGGTAATGCCGATAGGCAGAGTTCTTGGAGCTGTTCCCATTCGGATTCTAATGCACGCAATAACATAGGCACTATGTCGGTCTTAATTACATCCGTGGGGCACAGTTTTAATAACAAATTTACTTGTTGCATGAGGACCAAGCTAATCTATAAAAAAATTGTATTCGTTGTATAAGGGTTTTATCATCATTATCTGTTACTTTTATTTTATTATACCATTTCATTATTCTACTTGTGAGAAAAATATATACTTACTTGTGGTGGATCTTCCAAAGCAAGAACAGGTTTTAAATTGGGTAAGATATGTTCTCGGAATTCTTCTATCTCGGAAACTTCCATTACTTGCAGTATACTTGGCAATACAAACGGTATCATAGGTGGATTAACTAACTCCTTATAGAGAGCAGGTAATACTCTATGTAGCACAACTCTATGTGGCAATTGTTTTAATAACTGTGGAAGACCTTTGTAAAATTGCGATTTTTGAAGATTATCCCATTGAAATAACTTATCCAAGTAATTTAACGTTTTTACGCCAATGTCCGTAAAATATTCGATCTGCAATAATTTATGATAATGGAGTAAATATTATTATATTAAAAATATTTTTTATTTTCAAAACATTTTTTATATACTTTCAATTATTTAAAATTTTGCAAATTTAATACATTTTACAGGAAATTATTTAGAAGAAGTAAGTTACCTTGATAAATTGATGAGCATCTAATCGTAATTCAGGACTATGACTCAACATGAGCTTCACAGTATCTCTAAGTGTATCAGGGATTGAAAGAAGTTTTGCCGAGACATTACATCCCTTGAAATTTTCCAAGAAACGTCGACATTTTCCGAAATCATTGTGAAATTCCTGCAGCGGTTGATGTTCCGAAGAATGTATCGTATATATCAATATACCCAAGGCAAAAATATCACTAGATGGTCCATTACTACTTGCTAAAATACACTCGGGCGCCTGGTAATCTAACTGAGGTTGAACAACTGCAGGGAGCGTAGAATCATATTCAAGATAAGACCATGATGGCTGCAATAAAAAAAATGTGATTCATGGAAGTGCAAAGTACAATCATCAATCCAAATATTTATTTGATAAAATAAATAATTAATAATTGCTATGCGAATCTATTTTTAATTTATAAAATATAGTCAGTATAACTACATATTAGTCTTCTCAGTTTGTTATATTAAAATATTCTCATCACTTAATGAAATTCCATACCTGTTTACCATCTGAATTCTGATTTAAGGCACAAAAGTCAAAACCAAATATCTTCCAAGCTCCATGAACATTGATAACAATCGATTCCGGACATAAATTCCTATGCAGTAATTTCACATCACCATGTAAAAACGCCAAACCTTCTCCCAGTTGCAGCAATCCATATCGTATCTCTATGTCAAGCAACTTGTAACCTTTCAAGTTTGCCGGAGTTGGTTGAGGTATATTCTCATAATTACCTACAATGTATTTCACATATCTTATCGCTACTAAAGTAGCTTCAAACAAAACATTGCAAAATATAATAGAGTACTTCCCAGCAAGAGACACAGACAATATAGTGAATCATTATGTCCTTATTGTTTGTGAATATTAAACAAATATAAAATGATTATATTTGTATTAAGCCTAAACTACAATCTCTTTTCTTTCTGTTTCTTGCTTTCTATCTCTTTTCCTTCTATTGACTTTTATCAACAATTATGTATTTTGTCATGCATTTCTTATCAATTTCAAAGTTTATCAAGTTTTATCTTGTGACAGAAAATAACAGACAACAAAGGACAAGATAAAAAACCAAGAGATAAACAGAAATAAAAAGCAAGAAAAAGAAGCAAAAAGCATATTGTAAATCAGACTTTACACTGTATCACTTATGTCTCTTACTGAAAAATACCTTTAATTTTCACAGCAGTATGAAGTTTATATGAAGTCTACCTAGTACATTAGTCAGACTAGCAAACACTGGCTCAGTCGCAAACGCCAAACTGTCCCTTGATTCTTCCAATGGATGCTGCACAGTTAAAACCTGTGGATGTCTCAACTTTGTCAATTGCATAACACCTCGTTTTAGAGTCTCTAGTACGAGCTCCCGATCTGCCCTGGAGGACCATCTCTCCAGCATACGCTTTTCAAAAACAAAAATTGCTGCTTCTTGCTTGGTGGACTTCTTGTAGCCGCTGTAGATCTTCCACAGCAATCCTGGCCCAGCGCTCGCCACATGAACGGTTGCTTCAAACTCCCTGGTTACTGGATTGCCAGGGAGAACACTGGAGAGCTGCGATAAACCATACGCCGTATTTTGGACAGTATTGGTGATAGTGTTGCTGACTGTATTACGAAGTTTGTTTAAGACGTCCATCGTGTCAGTTGCTATTTAAAACGGTGTCACCAATGAAAAAACGCGTGGAAGGTCAGAAAAAATGCACTCTAGAATATCGAAATGACTATCCAACTACTTTAGATCGATATTTGTATCTCTACATGAATACCTCACAGCAAGGCTAAGGTTACAGAAATCGTTGCCATTTACCGTCATGAATCACACAGCATAATTTGTATGATTCCAACTTTGATAGACACACCTTCCACACTCCCGGTCGTAAGTACGGATCTACAATAGGTATTTTAAGCCTTAAGCCGTAAAATTTAACCAATTACAGTTGAATGCGAGAAGAATAATCGACTATGATTCGTCCATTTCTTATAGCTGAAGGCTTAAAAACCTATTGGGTACGTTCATTTATGCAGTTACTGCTGCAGATGTCATTCGTTTATTCTAGATAGAGAGTGCGGTCAATTTGACACTACAAATGCTTTAAAGCGTTTGATTGACCAATCGGAAAGAAGAATTTTACTAATTGACCAATCAAAAAATGCTTCGAAACATTTGTAGCAACAAGGCTATGTTCCAAAACTTCCTCTCCGAGGAAAATTTTATTCAAAATATATAGTACATGTGACGTATACTATAGCATATAAAGTAAAATCTTCCTCGGAGAGGGAGTTTTGGAACGTAGCCCAAATGAACCGTAGCCAGATATATATAAAGAGACCCGAAATCAATGATCCAAGTTCCTGATTGGCAGTCTAATATGTATTCTAATTGGGTACCGTCTTCTAAGCAAAGTAGCCATATTATGACCGCAGCTGAGGCCCAATTGAACAAATATCGCATACAAAAATAGAAATTTCATATACAATCAACCAATCACAGTCAAAAAAACTATCATTTTTGTATGTTAAAATTATTATTATGTGCTCAAGAATAGAGGCCCTGATTACATAAGCTGTGTAAGGGGCTCCGCACAATAAAAGGAACAGGGAACAGAGAACAGATAAGAATTTCAACCTATCAGAAATTGTGTATTCATAATATATGATTTCTGATAGATTGAAATTCTTATTTTCTTTGTTCCCTGTTCCTTTTATTGTGCGGAGCCTCTGACACAGGTAACCTCAACTGCTAACGGAATACAGAGCTCACTCCGCTAAGGGTATATCTATTTTCATCATCATAACATTTATAATTGCAAATAAACTACATAAGTTTTCAATTTCGCGCATTTATGCTAGAACCAATCACTAATGCAGCACCAAATGTACCACGTGACTAAAGTCCTCCCCCCCTGCGAGACGGCTTCACTCCCCTCGTCTAAAGTACAAGTTTATGCTTCGTCCCGTTTTTCCTGTATTCATGAGTGACTTGATTGCCTATTGCGATTTAATTTAATTCGTTATTTATTCATTTGATTTTTATAAGCGTGGCTCGTCCCTCAATTGTTTATAGTGTCGTTTAGTGCTACATTTGATAACGTTGACAACGTTGTGTAAAATTAACACTTACTCTTTCAACGAAATACTCTAAACCAAATGGTAAAAACTTTTATCTTTTCTATACAGTCAGTAGTTGTATATCCTGCACAAGTGATATAACTGTAGCAATTGTATCATTTACGAGGCCCAAACGTATCAATTAATAGTACGTCTTATTATGTCCAATTTAATTGTAATTCACTTTGGTAGTCCATCTGTTCTCCTGTCATCATCATCATAATCTGACTAATTTTAGTCACTTTTTTAAATATATTATTTTTAAAGAAAAATATATATCAAAAATATATAATAAGCAACACATATTTACAATAGAATTGTTAAAAAAAAACATGTTTTTTTTTATTTTATACAAAAAACATTGTTTTTTTATATGGAGCAATGTTTTCTGTTTTATCTTGTGTTTTTTAAGCAATAAAAAAAAACATGTGTTAAACAAGAAAAAATATTCTTTTGTTTAAAATATGTTTTTTGTTGGTTAAACAAACAAAAATATTATGTGAATATTTGAACCATTCGCCATAAAAAATAATAACTGATAAAATCAGTTATTTTTATTTATTATTGTTTTTATTTTATATTACTGCTAATATGTTTCTTATGTGAGCGTCACTAAGCGCTTTTCCAAAATGAACGCGAATTCATTATCGATCTTATTGATCCTGCGGGTAAATCGAGTTGATAAAGCAGAAATAATACTGGTTCATATCATCCTGCAGCCATGCCTGACGTTACATCCTATTAAACAAAAAAATGTTCAAAATTTATCTTTTTTCTGAGAAAGCGATTAAAAATGTTAAGCCAATAATATGTGGCTTGCGCTAAAAAATAATATCAATGTTGTTACATTCGATTTGGTAACACAACTCCATACAGTAATTGCTTCTTCTACTGGCATAGAAAAGCTGTTTTCAGCTTTTGGGTTAGTGCACCACTAAACTAAGAAACAGATTAGGCCCAGAAAAAGCTTCAAAATTAGTAACAATTTTAAAGGTATTGAACAAAAACATCTAATTGAAATAAAAATTTATTTAAAAATTATTATTTATATTATTTATATTATATAAAATTCATTTTACATTTAAAATAAAGATCCAAACAGCTTTTGGGTCATAAATCGATCTTTCAAAAGTGTTTGTCAAACATTTACAAATAATTAGATAACGTGACTTCTTTTTTCCCAAATAGCACGATGTTTAAAATAAATATTTATCATTATTTATATTTTTTAATAATATATAAATGTTTTATACAAAACTTGTATAAATATTTAT